TGCTTGGTGATTGGTTGGTTCCTAGGACCAAGGACCATTTGGTTGGAATAGTGCCAACCAAATGTCTAGGACCAAATCCAATCTTGACCAACCCAAATGTGGGGTTGGTCAACCCAACCAACAACCCCCAATAATTAGAATGACTACACCTCCTAATCTAGGCATGCATGTTGTATAGATATATATTTTACAACACAACCCCCCAACATGCATAAGACTAGAGGGCTTGAATCAGGAGGCGGACGAGGGAACGGGGGGAGCGAGTCCAAGAAGGCGAAGGAGGGACGAGTGGGCGGCGTGGGGGAGGGCTTTGGTGAAGATGTCGGCAAGATTGGCAGCAGAGTCAATCTTGCCCAGCCGGAGGTGGCCACCTTGCACAAGCTCGCGAATGAAGTAGTGGCGAAGCTCAATGTGCTTGGAGCGCCCGTGGAACACAGCATCCTTCGTGAGGTGGATGGTGCTGGCGTTGTCGCACCAGATGGTGGGACAGCGCTGAGGGGCACCAAGCTCCTCAAGAAGGAAGGAGAGCCAGCGGGCCTCCTGCGCAGCCATGGTAGCGGCATACAGCTCTGCTTCGCAAGAGGAGAGGGCAATGGAGGAGGAGCGGGTGGAGCGCCAGCTGATGAGGCCACTGCCAAGAGAGAAGCCATAGCCCTGAGAGGAGCGGCGGTCAGGCCGAGAGTCAGCCCAGGAGGAATCAGAGTAGCCAGTGAGGAGGGGAGGGGAGGGGCCGCCAAGGGTAAGGACGTAGTCCTTGGTCCCCCGAAGGTAGCGGAGGACACGCTTGGCCGCTTGCCAGTGGGTGGTATCATGCTTGCCGGTACCAACGAAGCGGGCCAAAACGCTGATGGGGTATGCCAGGTCAGGGCGGGTGGAGACCATGGCATACATGAGAGAGCCGATGAGCTCAGCGTAGGGGTGGGAGGAGGAGGAGGGGAGGTGAGAGGGGAGTGAGGTGGTGCCCAACAGGAAGAGGGGTGACCTGAGGGGTGCCTCGAGCCATGTCGAACCGCTCCAAGACCTGCTGCAGGTAGTGGCCTTGGGAGAGGGAGATGGTGCGAGCAGCACGGTCGCGGGTAATCTCCATGCCGAGATAGTGCTGCAGCTCCCCTAGATCCTTACACTTGAGCCGGCTGCCAAGCTCACGCTTGACACGCTCGAGCTCGGCGGAGTCGGCAGTGATGAGGATCATATCGTCGACATAGACGAGGATGTAGAAGGGGGAGGGGGAGGTGCGGAGGAAGAGGCTGGGGTCGGCACGGGAGGTGCTGAAGCCAAGCTCGACGAGGGTGGCAGCAAGCTTGGCATGCCACTCCCTTGGTGCCTGCTTGAGCCCATAGACCGGCCGACGCAGCTGCCAGACAGAGTCGGAAGGAAAGGGGAGGTGGAAGCCGGCAGGACGCTCCATGTAAATGAGCTCGCGCAAGACCCCTTGGAGGAATGCGTTGGAGACGTCCATGGAGTGAATCTCCATGTTGAGGCGAGCGGCGAGGTCGAGGACTGCGCGAATGGTAGCGGGCTTGGCGGTGGGAGAGAAGGTGTCGAAGAAGTCGACAGCGTAGCGCTGGGTGAAGCCCTTGGCGACGTAGCGGGCCTTGTAGACTGGCGGCTCGCCAGGAAGCTGCTTCACCCGAAACACCCACTTCCCTTTGACCACGTTCGTGGTAGAGGGAGGGCGTGGCACATCCACAAAGGAGGAGTTGGCAATAAACGCCTCCAACTCCTTGAGGATGGCCGCGAGCCAGAGGTGAGCGTCAGGGCACGCCATGGCCTCCTCGTACGTGGCGGGGACGAAGATGGTGGGGGCGGAGGAGAAGGCGAAGACTGGTGTGCCGCTGAGGTCAGGGGAGATGGGTAGGAGGGCTGGATCATGCAGGTGGAGGTTGAGGATCTCCTCATGGGAGTCCTCGAGGAGGGAGGAGTGGAAAATGAATGGGAGGACTGCAGCTGCTGCTGCTGCCGCTGCTGCTGCTGCTGCTGCTGCTGCTGAGGATGCATCTGCTGCTGCTGCTGCTGAGGCGGTTGCTACTGCTGCATCTGCTGCCGCCACTGCTGCTGCTGCGGGTGAAGGCGAGGAAGGAGCGACGGCTGCTGCTGCTGGTGCTGCTGCGGTACTGGAGCTCGGCGGCAGGGTTGGGCTAGTGTTTTGTTGTAAGACTGTCTGAAAAAGGAGGTCCATGAGAGGGGAGAGAGGAGGCAAGGGAGAGGAAGAGAGGATAACAGGAGGCGGGGCACCTAGGACTGCGTCACGCGACCTGGTGTGGGGATACCGGGTAAGGATGGAGCGGGTGGGACGCAAGGGGGGAGGGGGACGTGGGGGGAGGGGGGAGGAGGGGAGGGGGGAGGATGGGAGGGAGCGGAGGGGGAGGAGTGGGACGGGGAGGCGGGGGGAAAAAAAGGGTCAGGGTCAAATATGTCACCAGAGGAGGGGGGAGCACTAGGGACCGAGGCGGCGGGGAATGGAGGAGGTGGAGCGGGAGGGAGGATGGGAGGGGGAGGGAGAAGAGGGGGTGGGATAGTGTCGGACCAGTTGAGGGGCCTGGGAGCAGGGGCGAGAGGGTCAGTGGGGGAGGAGTGGAATAGTAGGGCGTGGACTCATCAAAGACTACATCCCGACTGCGGAGGAAACGACCTGAGGGGGGGTGAAGGAAGAGGTAGTCCGGGGAGGAGGGATTATGACCAAGGAAGATGCAGGGGAGAGTACGGGAGGCGAGCTTTCCCATGGTGCGGGGGCGGTCCGCAGGGTGAATGAGGACATACGCCCTGGAGCCCCACACACGGAGGGAGGAGACGTTAGGCTTGGCCGACGTCCAGAGCTCGGTGGGAGTGGTGGAGGGAAGGATAGGGTGGGGGTACAGGTTAGTAAGGAGGGTGGCGTGAAGGAGGGCATAGCCCCACAGAGAAGGGGGCAAGAGGCATGGACGAGGAGGCACCGAGCAATCTTGGTGATCTCCCGAACACGGCTCTCGGCCACACCATTCTGCTGGGGGGAGTGGGGGAGGGTGTGAGTCTGGCGAATGCCATGAAGCTCACAGTAGGAGGCTACCTGACGATTAAGGAATTCGCCACCGCCATCAGAGTGAAGGCGGCGCACAGGGCGGCCAAAGTGGGTGCTCGCCTGCTTGAGCCAGGCGATGATCGCAGCCAGAGCATCACCCTTCGAGCGAAGAAGGGAGACGGACGAATATCGGCTGTGATCATCGACCAGAACAAGCATGTAGCGATGGCCCTGGCGGGAAGGGGAGGGGTTGGGGCCCCAGAGGTCCATGTGAACAAGATCAAGCGGCTGAGCAGCAGCGGAGGGGGAACTCCGATGCGGCAGCTGCTTGAGCTTGCTCTGGACACAGACGGAGCAGGGTGGGGCAAGGGAGGGAGGGAGGGGAGGGAGGGTGAGGGGAAGACCTCGAAGGAGACCTGAGGAGACGGTCGAGCGGAGGGTGGCAAAGTTGGGGTGACCAAGCCTGTGGTGGAGGAGGACGGTGGGATGGGAGAGGGATCGACAGGAGCAGGTTGGGTCAGGGGGGAGGGGGGGAATGGTTGGGTTAGAAGGAGGGAGAGGAGGGGGAGGGATGTGAGGTGGGGGGAGGGAGCGGGAGACTGCCTGGGCAGAGGGAAGACGAGGAACTCGAAGGGTATATAGGCGGGAGAGAGGACAAAAGGGAATACGGGAGAGGAGGCGACCTGTGGGATGGTATAGGAGGCAGTGATTAGCGCGACCTGGGAAGACGGTGGTGATACCGGCCTGCTGCAGGGATCGCTGGGAGAGGAGGTTAGTACGGAGGGAGGGGATGTGTAAACCAGTGACGGTACGTGAGGGGAAGAGGGGACAGGGGAGGGTAGAGGTGTGGCGACAGGGAATAGAGAAGCTGGAATCGGCACCAAGGAGGGAGGTGGGGGCTGGGAGAGCGTGAAGGGTACCAGCATCACGAAGGACGGACTCAGTGGCTCCACTGTCAAGGACAAAGTCCAGCGTGGTGGAGGGGGGAGGATGTGGGGGAGGAGATGGGACGGAGTACTGAATCACATTCTCATTAATAGCAGCCGAATACATAGAAGGGGCGGGGGTTCCAACCTGGCTAACCATGCCAACAAAACCAGAGGAGGGGAAAGGAGTCACACTGCCTGTGGCTGAGGGCGCGGAAGACGCGCCCGAGAGGTGAGCTGCGGAAGCGGTGGTGCCGGCGGTCCAAGCGGGGTAGGGCTGCTGGGGGGAAGCCATAGGAGGAGGTGCAAGGGGGAGCTGTGACTGGAGGTCAAGCTGCTGCTGGAGCTGCTGGAGCTGCTGCTGCAACTGGGAGAAGAGGTGCTGCTGCCCCTGCTGCTGCTGCTGCTGCTGGAACTGCTGCTGCTGCTGCTGAACGGCTGCGGCAGGATCTGCTGCGGAGTCTGCTGCTGCTGCTGATGCTGAGAGACGGCCTGGTGGGCCAAGGGGGAGGAGACGAGCTGAAAAAGAGGGGAGGTACGAACTTCCTGAGGAGTGGGGCGAGGAGAGAGGGAGGACCAGCGGGGGGGGGGTGCCGGTGTTGCCGCGGGCAAACCACTCATCACTGAGCGCTTTGAAGCAAGAATCAGTGGCATGAGTGGTCTGGCCACAGCGCTGACCCCCCGTGGGGCCATAGCGAGGGAGATACTGGCAAGGAGGAAAGGCGGCTGCTGCACCACGTCCTGCGCCATTGCTACCACGACCCGCGCCACCACCACGACCAGCGCCACACCCACCCCCACGCCCTCCCCTGGTGTTGCGCTGCTGAGCAACAGCGGCAATGGAGGAGGAATGGCGCAAGAGGTCGGCCTCAGTGGTGATAATCCACTGGGCGACTTCAGCCGGGGTGATGCGCTTGTCGATCAGCTGCATGTAGGCGATCTTATGGGTGTCGAAAGCAGGAGTCAAGCATTCAAGGAGGTGGCAGCAGAGTACTGGGTCCGGGTACGGCACGCCAAGAGCCGCCAGGCGCCGAGCGAGGTCGAGGACGCGACGCGTGAAGGCAACTGCGCCGGTGGTAGAGTCCATGGTGAGGCTCTGGAACTCCTTGATGAGGGAGTAGAGGGTGGCGACGTCCTGCCGATCATAGAGATCAGTGAGGAGCCGCCAGAGGTGGGAGGAGGAGGTGGGAGCAAGCTCGCGCTTGAGGGTGGGAGGAATGGTGGCGAGGAGGATGGTGAGCGCGCGCCGGTCAGCGACACGCCAGGCAGCGAGGTCGGTGATGTATGCGCACTCGCGCCTGACGTACTCCGCGAGCGCCGCCTGATATGTGTTGTAGGCGGCAGTGGCGGCGTCATGCTTGGCGCGGGAAGCCTCGAAGAGCAGCTGCTGGCGGACGTGGTCGGTGAGGCTGGCACGGTAGGTGCGGATGGCGGTCTCGGAGCTCTGAGGGTCGTTGACGTCAGGGGCGAAGGTTGGAGGATCGCCGGGGGCTGACGGGAGCATCGCCAGGAGGAGGAGGTGCAGGGCCCGCGGGAGCATCCGGCTGGGCAGGCTGAAGACCGCGCTCCTCCAGATGGACAACGGCTTTCAGGTTGTAGCCGTTGACCGTCACCGAGGAGAGAAGCACCGTGACGGTTTGGGCATAGGAATGCCAATTGACCGCGGTGTTGTCGGGCAGCAGCTCAAGAGCGTCGACGGAGGTAAGGTCCACCAAGGAATCGGACGCCATTGAGGAGGAGGAGGAGGGGAAGGAGGAGGGGGGGGGGGGGGGGGGGGGGGGGGGGGGGGGGGGGGGGGGGGGGGGGGGGGGGGGGGGGGGGGGGGGGGGGGGGGGGGGGGGGGGGGGGGGGGGGGGGGGGGGGGGGGGGGGGGGGGGGGGGGGGGGGGGGGGGGGGGGGGGGGGGGGGGGGGGGGGGGGGGGGGGGGGGGGGGGGGGGGGGGGGGGGGGGGGGGGGGGGGGGGGGGGGGGGGGGGGGGGGGGGGGGGGGGGGGGGGGGGGGGGGGGGGGGGGGGGGGGGGGAGGAGGAAAAGGAAAGGAGGAGGAAAAGGAAAGGAGGAGGAGAAGGGGGGAGGGAGGAGAAGGATAGGTGCACGGAGCGCAGCTCTGAAGTCGCCGAAGGCGACTTAAACGAGCTGCACGACGCGCTCCAAGGAAGATGCGACGGGCGGCTGCACGCCGAAATGGCGCGACGAACGGGTGCACGCGACGGCGGAATCGACGACGGGCGGGCGCACGCGGCGGAGAAATCGACCGACGGCCGTGCGCGCGCTGCGACCGAAAGGCGACGGGCGCGGTGGGAGAATTTGTCGACGGGCGTGCGCGGGAGCCGTGACGGTTGGGCGCGCGGAGAGCGCGACGAACGGGTGCACGCAAACGCGGAAGGCGCGCGACGGGAGGGCGCGACGGGAGGGTGCGACGACGGGCCGCGCGACGGAGGAGCGCACCAACGGGCGCAGTAGAAGGATGCGACGGCTAGAAGCGCGTCGTCAAGCGGGACGGGAGGCGCACGACGGAAGGGAGAGCGGGCGCGGCAAAAAGGCGCGGGACGGGAGGAAGAGCGGGCGCGACGGAATAGCGCGGCGGGAGAGGGCGCACGGGGGGCGCGGGAAGGAGCCTTAAGGAAGGGCTAGGCTTCGAAGACGAGGAGGGACGGCATACGGCCGTGCTAGTTAGGATCGACTAGAGGTGGCGTGAGCCATTGTGGCTCTGAATACCATGAAGGAACTAGCTTGGAAGAGAAAAAATTGAATTGAGTAGGGAGCCAAGAGGCTCTTTTGTACAAAACAAGGAGCAAGGAAGAGTTGGAAGGGAAGCTCTCCTATTGGCCATAAAGTGGACCAATGGGAGAGGTTGCTTGTAGGGCAAGCAACCACAAAGTGTGGTGCTCTTCGATTGGCCACAATGTGGACCAATGAGAGAGATTGCTTGGAAGGCAAGCAACCACAAAGTGTGGTGCTTGGTGATTGGTTGGTTCCTAGGACCAAGGACCATTTGGTTGGAATAGTGCCAACCAAATGTCTAGGACCAAATCCAATCTTGACCAACCCAAATGTGGGGTTGGTCAACCCAACCAACAACCCCCAATAATTAGAATGACTACACCTCCTAATCTAGGCATGCATGTTGTATAGATATATATTTTACAACAATGAGGCCCCCTGCCACGCCCACACCAGCCGAGCTGAGAAAACCACCAGGAAGAAGAGGACTACCTGGATGTGGCAACACCCAAAGGACATGTTGCAAGTTGGTATTTGGGAGACCTTAAAAACCAGTATTACATGTTGCTTACAGGAAGCACCCATATATTGCCCACCTGAATGTTGCAGGCAGGCATGGAGGCGAGAGCCATGAGCCCCCCTGCCACGCAAGCCAGCTAAGGAACACCACCTGAATTATGCTAAACTCTCGCCATATATTTCTGCATACCACAAGACTTCAGCCACGCCCACCTGGATGTTACAGGCAGGCATGGAGGCTAGTGCCATGAGCCCCCCTGCCACGCCCACCAGCTGAGCTGCAATCGCCGAACCAACCACGGCTGATAGGTTCGGCGCCAAACCTCCCATCCTGCTCTCCACGAACCTGAGAGTGAGGTAAGGAGGCGAGAAGGGGGAGATTAGGCAGGGGTTAAGATTACGCGCCTTGAAAGATAGACACAACCTTTGAGACACAACCACTTGAGACATTCGCCCCACTTTGGCACCATCTTCTTTGCATCACATGCCTCCATTGTTCTCTGCAACGTCAGCTCAAGGAGATTCACAATCAACACAATAACTTGAGACAACCAGGGTTCAGGGCTTAAACCACTGACCTGAGCACCTTCTACTTTGCGTCATCCAAAGACATTGAGATTTCCAAATAGAGGACTTGGTAAGGTGCGAACACATCAGGTCCCAATGAACTGACCTGAGCACCTTCTTCTTTGCGTCATCCAAAGACATTGAGATTTCCAAAGAGAGGACTTGGTAAGGTGCGAACACATCAGGTCCCAATGAACTGACCTGAGCACCTTCTTCTTTGCGTCATCCAAAGACATTGAGATTTCCAAAGAGAGGACTTGGTAAGGTGCGAACACATCAGGTCCCAATGAACTGACCTGAGCACCTTCTTCTTTGCGTCGTCCAATGCCAGGGCTCTATCACACGCTTCCATCGTCCTCTGAAGCGCGTCGTCTGGCAGCGGCCGTCCCGTAGTGGTGGAGGCTGTAACTGACACCACCATGATCGTCGCCGAGGGCAGCAGCCCTTCTAGATCCACCACCGTCAGATCCATCTCGTTGCCGATCCGACGGACCACGCGCGCGTAGTCGATCGGGTGCAGCACCAGGGACTCCAGCTCGGGGAATTTAAGGCGGTAATTGTCTCTAATGAAGTTATGCACTATGGTTATCTCGTTGTCAATGTCTACAGCAAGACCGTTACAGTCCACGATTAGTTGGTACTCTGATTCGTCCATAGGGCCTGCAACAGCTGTAGCAGCAGCTGTAGCAGCCGATCCGGCTGTAGCAGCAGCAGCAGTGGCAGAGGGAGGGGTGAGGCCTGCAGCTACAGCTGCTGCGGCTGCTGATGCCGCCGACACAGGCAGACTGCCACCCTCCTGCTCCTGCTGCTGCTGCTCCTGCTGCTGCTCCAGTTGCTTCTGTTCAGAAGAGGGTCCTGCGCCCTCTGGTTCTCCCTCACTGGCCAGTTGGGCATCCGAAGCTTCCAGTGCAGCTTCCACCCTCTGAAAGAGCGGTCGGGAGGCAGGGGAGGAAAGGGGGGTGAAGAAAGTATGAGGGGATGGAGAAAGGGGAAGGGAGTGGGGCTGGATATCCGTGACCCACACGCACTAAAGCTAATGGGAAAGGAACGGAAGTTCAGCCTGCTCATTCCAGCTCACACCGACATGCCAATCACGACTCAAAAACTTTCGCAGCTTGGCCACCGACATCCAGCCCCACTCCCTTCCCCTCCCCTCCCCTCCCCTCCCCTCCCCTCCCCTACCCTCCCCTCCCCCTCCCCTCCCTGCGTCGATAAGCCCTCACCCACACCTATGAGCCTCCAACCAGCCCAACCCATCCCAACCACCAACTATAACCCCGTTATAAGTCCCCACCACCTGAACCCACCCGCATCATGTCGACCAATCTCACTGACTCCTCTTTGGCCACAGTTGAGCGCCACATTCCACCCCCCCACCCCAAGTCATGCGCCCCACCCAAACCCACCTGAAACCACCCACCTACATCATGTGAATAAACCGGGCTGATTTCTGCAGCTTGGCCACAGCGTCCAAGTCGTCATGGTTGAGCGCTCCTGACTCCCCCCCCTCCCCCTCCTCCACCACTGGCACCTTCGGATCCCACTATGCCTATCAATGCCCATCACCCACCCGCATCATGTCTGTCTGCAGCTTGGCCGCAGCATTGGAACGCTCCTGACACCCGCCTCCCCCTCGCGTCCACCACTGGGCCCTTCTGATCCCACTATGCCTATCAAAGCCCACCACCCACCCGCATCATGTCGATAATCCAGCTGATTTCTGCAGCTTGGCCATGGCATCCAGGTCGTCATAGTTGAGCGCGCTTCTAGATCATCCATCTCTTACCAAAAACGCCTCCCCCTACCCACACCCTACCTACGCCATACTCCCCACCCAACCTACCCACCCGCATCATGTCGATAAACCGGGCTGATTTCTGCAGCTTGGCCACAGCATCCAAGTCATCGTAGTTGAGCGCCTCTAGGTCCATTGTCTCTTCCTCCTCATCCGACCCCTCCTCCACGCCCTCTCCACCACCGACTTCCTGCAAACAGAAGGAAACACAAGAAAAAGGACTCTAAGTCATCATAATTGAGCGCCTCTGGGCCCATTGTCTCCTCCTCCTCGTCTGACCCTTCATCAGCGCCCTCCCCCCCACCAACTTCCTGCATAACGGAGAGGAGAGTAAGAGCACGAAGGGAAAATCCGGACCTTCATAGTTGCGCGCTTCTAGGCCCGTTGTTTCCTCCTCCTCATTCGATCCTTATTCTGTACCCTCCCCAGCACCAGCTTCCTGCAAAAAAGGGAAGAAGCCAAGGAGAAATTAAGGTCATGGGAAAAGGCAAGAAAAGAGGTGGCTTCAACATCAGAGAAAACATATTAAGAGGCTCTTTGATTTCAGGAAGGTCGTCCAAATCCGCTTTAAAATATCTCGTTAACAAAAAAAAGAAAAGAAAAAAAAAGTGTGTGAACAGTGGAATTACCAGTAATTGATTGAATGCATTCAATGATTCCACCTTGCCTAGCATTCAATCAGCCCACCTACAGCGCCTCTTCACTGTCCAAAAAGCTGTCTAGATCCGCTTTAAGTGAGGTGTGAATGAACATTAGGCCGACAGGTGATGAGCTTATTGATTAGCCCATACGTGCCACCGACACCCACCTGAAGCGCCTCTTCGTTGTCTGAAAGGTCGGCTAAATCCGCACGTATGAATCACTACCGAAAGAAAGTGTTCAAGCAAGCAGTAGGTGAGCACGCAGGTGCAGTGCAGCCTCGCTTATCCACTCACACACACACACACACTGAGGCGCCTCTTCATTGTCTGAGAGGTCGTCTAGGTCCGCACTTGTGAATCATTACCAAACGATTGTGTGCAAGTAGTAGGCACACAGGTGAAATGCAGCCTCGCGTATCCACTCACACACACACACACACACACATACACACCTGAGCCGCCTCTTTGTTGCCTTAGAGGTCGGTTAGATCCGCACTTATGAAACACTACCAAACGATTGTGTGCATGCAGTAGGCACACAGGTGCAGTGCAGCCTCGCTAACCCACTCACACAGGTGCAGTGCAGCGACTCATGCCCACTGACACAAGTGCGTGCAGGCTTGCATACCCACTCACATACCCACCCACCCACCTGAGGCGCCTCTTCATTGTCTGAGAGGTCGTCCAGATCCGCCAAAAAGGAATCCGCGAGGGTCGCAGCCTGAAGGGGAGAGAGGAAGCAGGGCAGTGATGGAATGCGGGACACAGGAGGGGACTTTTGAGTCGACTCAAAAGTCACCTCGTTACAATGTCACACAACACTTTTGAGTCGACTCAAAAGTCACCTCGTTACAATGTCACACAACA